TAATATTAAATGATTTAACTCCCCCTTCTTTCTTTCAGTTTTTAAAATGTTAATTCTCTTTTCTAAAGTTTTAAATGATTAGTAATCTCTTAATTCTAAAGTTGTGGTTTTTTTATTCAAGTTTTAATGTTCTTTTTCTTGTACTAGAAAACTAATGATGTGGCTAAGGCATTGAAAGCTGCTATTGTAATAAACAATATTGTTGGCAACGACGACTCATAATTATTTCATAGCATTTATTTGCCAAACATAAGCAGTTATTCAGTACGACTATTCTATCAGTGGCAAAAAAATACTCTTCCCTATTTAGTTCTTTTAAAAAGTTTTATAATGTCCAATGGTAGAAAATTAGTGTTAATTTTTTTGTATGGAATGGTATATTGCACTTCAAGCAAAAACCAACATCACATTTCATGTACATTGACACAATGACACTTTTGCATTCAGCTACTTTCCCAAGTAGATGATCAGGTCATTCGTAGAGAATGTTGTCCAAAACTTTCATTGATCTCTTCTACGACAGAGCTGTTGGACCCTCAAATTTGACAGCAGTTTTATCCCTTTCAAGGTATGTGATGGCAGTCTCTTCTGAATTTTAATTTAGTAATTTTCCTTCCTGTCTTCTTGTAAATCTGTCAAGCATCTTTATCACTGCATGTGTTTTCTACATCAATATTGTCTAGTACCATTTCTTACCTCTGATAGATATATGATACTGATTTGTATCTTGATCCATTAGATTGGTACTGCCAATATATCCATTGTTTATACTAATAATTGCCGGATGAGGGACATTTATGATATTCTCTTTTGATGAATATCTCTTTTTGGCTTGACTGAAGATTCTCCGAATTGGTGCAATTACAACCACAGTTTTGTCCACCTATTTCCCAAACATTCCATAAGACAAAACTCCCTCAGTATCACTCACCAATTATTGCCCATCAAATTATCCAACAGACCTCTTGTGTTCTTATCACCACTGTCTTCTATCAGTTGGCTCATTTGCAGGCAGTGGTGCAATGAAAATATCCTCTACTTGTATGTTATCATCATCACCATTGATGCCTTAAATATCTTCTTGAAGCTACTGAACTAATTCTGTAATAATAGTCAGTTCATCTCTAAAACAGTCAGTATATGATAAATGTGGAGAGATGTGAAAAGCACTGGAGAAGAACGAGTGCGGCATATACTTCACACTGAGCTTTCAAGCCTCCACAGCTTCCCTTAATAATAATTAAATCAATTAATGATTTTCATTACTTTTAGATCTATCTGAGATAGATATAGCATTGAGATAAATTGAATTCATGCCAACATAGGCTATGAATTCAATTTATCAGTGATCAGAATCCATCAGAAAAAATAAAATTTTTGAATTGCAGGAAAAAGTACAATTAAATACACCTTTTTTTGACATCATCACACAATAAACTGATGAACCAGACCCCTCTGCAAAAAGAACACACTTGAACGAAAATGAGAATCGACCTGCAACCAAGGGAAATAAGTAATATCATAACTTGTTTGCTGGGACGTATATGTCACACTCATCCTTGGAGGGTTAACATTATGCAATTTAACAGAAACGTATGTAAAAATCTTACAATTAGATACAGTTGTGAAAATGTAAACGAATGTATGTAATTATAAGCATTTATAAAATAATTGTTAAAATGTTGATTATATGTATAATAATATATATAATTCATGAGCACAACAAAAAAATCAGGTGTTGAGATAAAGGTTTTGAAGTTTTCGCCTTGTACTGAAATGCATTATTCTCCCATTCACACTTCTGCCATTTGTAGATGGAATACTGTACTGTAAGATATGCTGCTGTTTCTGCTGAAAGGTAGACCAATCTGCAATTCTGGGGAGTGCATTACCTCAAAATATGTATTTTTTGAGTTCTGCCACTATTGCAACCCACAAGCATTTATTACACAATTATATGTAGTGTTATTGTAATACCACAATGAAATATATATTTTTGTAAAAAAATATTATAATATTAGTAATATTATTTTAGATATATTTATGCATAATGTAATGGAAAAGACAATAAAATACAGGCTTATTTGTAATAAATATAACCAAACAATTAAATACTATATTTAATTTAGTTCAAAATAATGTAATATCAGTATAAGAATTATTGTAAAATAACATACAGCTGGAGGAAATTGACTTGTCATACATTGAAGCAATTGTCAACAAAGTAAATATTATTATTGTTGTTATAATTAATATCTACAATTTTCAGACAAAAAATGGCACTTTTGTCTGCATACCAATATTATCTATACACTACATAGTACAGAGATGTAAACCACAGAAATGACACTTTTTAATCTTAATTGATCTACCAAGGTTCATATTTTCTTAAAAGCTTCCTTAACAAAACTTTTGGGGAATTCCACAATGATATCCCTAGGATGGAAGCCTCATAGAGTATGCATAAGCCGTTTGCCTCTTGGCTTTTGAAAGGGTTGTCAGATTGGTAAAGTTTTCCAAACCATTTTCACGTTGATGACTTTTGTGAATTCAGTGTTTGACAACTATATTCAATCCTGCTGATGTTCATCCAGGAAGGGTCACATGGGAGAATTTGGACCATAATACTTCAAGTAAGTACTGTTTGAGAATATTGTATTGTAAGTTAGAGTACCTTTCACTAATCTTCTATCTACAAAATCCATAACTCGTTAAGTGATTCTAGGCTGTATGTCAATTCTTAGGCATCTATTTTATCTCGCGAGTGTTGCAAAGCTCTCATATGCCCTCATATATTAGACTCACATCGACAAGCGGAGTCATCCAGCACATAGCCCATGGAGACCTTCCATTTCCTGCGGCGCAATCGAAGTACGCACGTAACAGGAAAGAGAAATTCCAAGAGAAACATAACAGTACAAGATATGAAATTTGTCTAAGAAATTTGAACTGCAAAGCATCCTATGAAAGTGAAATGTACACGAAAACAATAGAGCACAAATCACATTTTATTGTAAAGAGTGTGTGTAAAAACGAAGTCATGATCATGATATCAAGACGTGTCATTGCCTGTCAGTAAGTGTTAATTTTTTGAAATTTAATTTATTTGTCATGTAGGTGGTGTCATGAGTGTAGTAATGTGTGGCAACCGTGCATCGAACAGTCAGAGTCGCTTATACACTGCTGGTACTGTAGTAATGTTCTATAACAAGATGCAACCTTTCCCGGGTTACATTCTGTCTCTAGAAAATACAAGATGTATCTATGAATAACAATACCACAAGCTTACAGGTGCCTTCAAAAGTAATTTGATTCTTCTATATAAAATACTACTACTACTACTAATAATATAAACCAACATATAAAAGTAAAATGAAAGTTCTCACAACTAATCAGAAAACACATGACATGCAAAAAATTTAACAAAATATGCTCTAGTTTACAAGTGATCCTTAAGAAAGTCATTTATAGACCACGTATAAAACTATCATACATAGACAGTGAATTAAGTCACTTTCAATTCTGTATGTAGAAATACTAAAAAGGGGATTCTCCGGTAATATATCATTGTGTCATTTTCATTATTAAATAATAAAACTTATTTCTGTCAAATCATAAATTTATTCTATTAATCCTGCTCTACATGAAGAGAATGTGAACTTCATACAAATAACTAGAGACCGGACATTGAGGGGCAAAATATTAGCAATTTAGGTGATAAAATAGGTACAAAAAACATTAAAAATAGATGCCTGTTTACCTACAAAAAAATAAAAATTGGTGCATATTACATGATTTTATACCATAAGATGACCAATCCCTGTGAAATGTTGAGAGAAAAATGTTTTGTGCCTAATATCGATTTTTTCCGCATTTTTTAAATAGTTGCCAATGGATCACTGGTGATTTGATGATGGTTTCAAAATTTATTTTTCCCATGTTTTCCTTGTTGCAAATGTTGCCAAATGCATGGGGTCATTTTTTCATACACTTCTATTTTACAGCGACAACCATCATGGCTGTTATTGTCCGATATACAGAACCATCCAATAAAATGCCATCTTCTGCATACTGCTTACCTATTTCTCTCATTTTATTCACATTCAATAACAACCAAATACAAGGCCTACAATGCACGTAGACAAACTTTTTCAAGACATCTTTCCGGTAATTTATCAACAACAATGTACACTACCCCTAGTGCAAACATCTGGGGGAATGCAAGAGGGTGATAGGCTAACAGTTTTTTTGAAATATCTTTGAGTTTCTGGTCATTGGTAGTAAATGCAATCAAGGTCTTAGTTGAAGTAGTAGTTGAGAAAACACCAGATTTGCCAACAGAAGTTCACAAATGTTAGTTGTAAAATAGCAACATACTACATATATCAGAACTCAACTGTGTTCCTTTCGAAACACATACAGCATCAGCAAGATATCAGGTAAAAGAAGTTCTTTGTCTTAACAATGAACGACAATGGGTAATAACTGGTAATGAACAACAATAGGTCTCCTTAACTTTTGTTCTTCTGAGATTAAAAATAAAGGCAGGTTATTTTGGAGCAAAATGAAGCAAACGAAAGCCCATGATTTGCACAAACATTGTTTTAACTTTAAACAGTGTTTATTCATATAATGTGCACATTCAAAATAATGTAGGTATTTTTGTAGGTAAAAATAAGGAAATAGGAAAATAGAGACAGACGGTATATTTAGGCACAAGGGAAAGTTCGGAAACGCTTTCATTTAGGTTACATAACATGTTAAAAATAATAAATCAGGGTTCCCAATATGATTTGTCTGTAAAAATCCGGCCGTTACAAATAACATTCAATTTAATACAGTGTATTCTTCATTTAAAAAATTAATGTTTTGGTAACAGATTCAAGTCATATCTTAAAGAACAATAAATACATTATTTAGAAGGGCCCTCAATATTCAGGCACAAAACTAATTGAAAAGCAATTTTGGAATGAGCATTTAATTTCAAATCGTATACATACCTGTATAGGAGAAGGTTGATTAATTTCCATTTCCTCCAGTACTTTAATTGCTTCATCTGGAACACCAAGAGACTGAAATGAAGTGTCTGTACTGGTTTCCCGTGTTTGTACCTGTTCATTAAAACAAAAAATTAAATTACAAATGGAAATACAAAGTTCAAAAACAAACCACATCCTAAATGAATTTCTTACTTCACCATAATTTTTTATTTCAAAGAAATCTCCTTTTGACTTTCGGTGAAGCCATCCCTTGGAAGCCAGAGGAACAACAGCAAATTTACCATAAGATTGTCCCTTGTAATGATTTAAGTCTTCATTTTTACAGCTAATAATAGGATCCTACAATCATGAACATCAATTAGTATCAAGAAATAAAATTAGAACTTTATTTTGTTTTAAAAAATTTACCTGCTTTTGCACATTTCTCTCTTCCTGGAATAATTTCCTCCTCTCTTTCCTGGAAACCACAAAATCTGGTTTTCTGGCAACCTACAAAATATACTGAATGCTAAAAAGAAACATTCTCCAGCTGCAATTCTTGAAAATAAAATAATTGAAAATTCACTAACAGAAAATAGTCTAGATGATAGTACGTGGCTCTGCCCAATTCTCAAACACCAAAGGCCTTTCATGATTTATGGTGTATAAATATTGCCAGATAGCAATCAGAAATAAATACTCAAAATTACATACACTGCTTTACAGAACTATGTAGTTTCTGTACGGTTTTCACTTCTTTGAAATCTAAAAACACAGATTACAAAATTATTAATGCAGTTATTTTCCATTTGAGCACATTAGGGAATTATAAACAAACCATAGCTATCTGCACACTTAGGTATGAAGAAGCATAAGCATTCGGAATGCACGAATTCAGCGTTTGATTATCATACAAAACACCAAAATTGAATAGCGCATTAACAGTCTTCCACTGTTCCTCCCGGCAATCGCAATAAGCAACTGTGCGGCGTAACAATCGTATTATGTTTCTGCAGTTCAACGTTAGTAAATCTGTGAACTGTGTACTGAAATATAGATACACTTTCATACGAAGAAATTGCATCCATGCAATGTTGCTACAATTTGTGCTTTGGGAAGAATAAATTAGTGGATGAAATTCATTTCAACAATTCCAAAGTTGGCTAAAGCTGTCAAAGACGTCAGATGTGAGACTGATTGTTTACAACCGGGTGCCGGTTGCTAAAGTTTAGGAAGGTTTTGGTAGGTCGAAATCTGTAAATACATTCCGTAGATAATTTGAGAATTACAGTAGTGCGATATTCAGCGTTCCAGAGTGGCAAATTTTTGTGCTAATAAATGTCATAATTTACATTTAGGCGCAAGTGATTCATTGAAAGCAGGATAACGAAAAACCCGCAAACACCATACAATGTGTACTGGCATTGCTGTCGCCAATTAGATTGACAGTGTAATAGCCATTTAAGATACACTGTCTTGTTAAATCAATTATCATATCATGAAAGATAGTGATCCCTTATGTTGTTGTGAATACTTCAATAACAAGAATGAAAGAAGCCATATGTTGGGATGTTGTTGCAATTGTGAAGAACTTGACCTTTGTTGTGACAGGTGTGTTCTAACACTAGGGTAGACACATTTTATGTTGCACATGAGCTCTATTGTCATATGTCTTACTCTATCTCGAGTGGTATTATGAGATTAAATTTTTTCAGGCTTGTTACTTGTAACCGTGTTTCTTGTGAACATCTTAGCAAGATTATGGGCTCAATACATGATCGTTTTCGAATACCCTGGAGAGGAGGAGCCAAACAAATTTCTTTTGATTCAATATTGCCAATACTAGTGCAGCCAGTCCTGATGTACTTGGCAGCATTAAATGTGTGGTTTACAATCATAATATTTTTTATCACTTCAATTTTTTTGTGGTATATGTTGTATGTTTTTGTTTGTAAGAGTCCAAGAACAAAATTCTTCTTTATGTGGACGATTGTGTCAGTATTTTTGTTAGTGTTGGTGTTTGAAGTGTACGTGGTCCCTCTGTTGGAGATTCTTCCTGAAGAAAATATTGCATTTGTAATCATTGCATTGTTATCATTATTCTTCATCTATAAGACATGGACACGCTCAAAGTTAAATAAAGTAAATCATAGTGACAGTCGTGATGATTTGTATGGAAATAGAAATAAAGCTACAGAGACTGTGTGCTCTGTCTGTAGGAAAAGAGTTCCACCAAGAACATACCACTGCAGTATTTGTCAGACATGTATATTATGCAAGGAACATCATTGTTTGTGGTAAGCAAGAAGTACAACCTGTTAATTTGTCAAAATGTTTGCTATATTTTTTATTACATTTTGGGTGCTATAATTTTAGGTTAGATTGCTGTGTTGGAGAAAAAAACCAATGGCACTTTGTGCTGGCTTTATTTTTTTCGTTTTGTGCATTATTTGATGGTGCATATCTTACTCTGACATCTGTGTGTCACCCTATATTTGTTTTGGAGTACATGCTGGTTCCAGATGATTGTAGTGATGTTTATCATGATTTTACGTATGTATAAAAAATGTATACATTCAGTAAGATACATTTTATCCAAAATTCATTTACTGATTGACACTAAAGATTTAAATTAATTATACCCTTTGTTCCAGGATTGCATTGTGCTTCATCAGTGCTTTATACAGTTTATTGGTTGCGATTTTAGTGTTGTTCCTTCTTGGACAACACTGTTGGTTAATATCATTAGGGTACACTAAACAAGATTGGCTGGAACTTCCTACAGGAGAGCGTCGATGTGGTGGTCTCTGGGCTTCTCGTCCATATAATAAAGGCTTTATTCGCAATTGGATAAATTTTTGGTGTTCCCGATCATCCACTAGCTGTATAGAAGGATGAAATTACTTCATGTATTTTTTTAAGGCTATATGAAATATACATATATATTTATGGTATTTGGAGCTCTTGCTTGTTTTTAACTTTGTTATATATCAATGACTATATCTGTTGCAAGGATCAGGGAAATCGAATGGAAACCCTCATTTCACACAACGAAAATGAAGATTTTAAAATTTCACCAGAAAAAACATTGTTCCAAATTGTGAGCCGATACAAAGTACTAGAAAGTGTGTATATACAAAGCAGCAAGAAATGTATATATGATCTGAGAAATGATTGGATTTATACAAACTTTGTTTTTCCTCTGGCCTTCAAAAATTACAGTAATGAGGGTATCACTATGTTGCCTCAGCCCTTTCAATTGACGTTATATATAATGATAAGTTGGAGTCTATGAAGATCACAAGTCCATGACAATGTATAATTGGAAAATGTATCCACAGCTATTAATGGCTACAAAACTTCAATATCTGTTGCATTTTGTGATATTGTAAGTACACGTAATTCCGGGAAAAGTTCTAGTTGTAAGCATGCAAAGCTTAATGTATATTACTTCTTATTCAATTACATTTGCCTTCCATACATTGCTATTCCACTTGTCTGTAAAATAATTCAGTGTTCAGTTAATAAAAGTATTTTTTTTTTAATGTTACAATTTCTGTTTGTTGCTTTTGATATCCAAACATTTTTATTGAAGATAATTTACACTGCTAAATTGGAATAAATGCTTTTTTTAAGTAATAAATTGTTTACTTAAGAGGAATTTAGGCAAGTCCATTTCTTCAGAGTTCGAAGAAAGTTTTTCTACTTTTTTGTGTAGATATTCTATTTTGGCAAATAAATAAAAAATGAAGTGGTTCCTGAACTTTTTGAATTTTAAAGAATCTATAAAAATGTCTTCCTGTAGAGCTGTGAATTTTTGTTTTTACTTATCTCTCTGATTCCATATTGTGAAGGAAAGTTACATTCTGGATGATGTTGCTAGAAAGGTGGAGCATTTCTAAGGTACAAATGAAATTCACCAAGTTCATTTTTAATGTTTTAAATTATTTACATAAGCAGGTTACATATTTTATATTCTTTTGAAATCACTGAAGTCTTGGAGTTTGGGTGTTCTAAATTATCAATTGTTTTGTTTTAACTCGGTCTTAGAACTGAAAATTTTCAGGAAAAAACCATCTTTGGACCTGAAATTTTTTGTTTCTTAAAAGCATTATTACTTCGTAAAGTGTGTGTAAAAGAAACCTGGTTTTTTCTCCATCTCGCACACGATTTTGTGTAGACAAACTTATCAGAATCAACTTAAACTTGAGTTTTCTTTAAATATGTTTTTTGACTTGTGAGTTTTGCTAGTTTACAGATGATGTGTGGATATTTATTTATAAATTGAGGAATAGGGGTCCTTCAATTAATAACTAGGATCATGAAGGGCTTCGAGCTTTGATATAGAGGGTAGATAATAGTATTAATGGAGTGAATCGTGGGGAGATATAGAGTGGGAGGCAGGGGAAATTAAAGAACTCAAAGAAATCCTACTCGCTTTGCCCGCCACAAATTTCACATGGATTTGGCAGGGATTGAACCTGGACCTCAGCAGTGGAAGGTGTGCTTTATTACACCACAAATCCCCTGGTTTTAAGGTAATTAGTGTCTTTTTCATTCAAGGTATGAGGACTAAATGACAAGGTGTGCATCCTTCATTTTGCCTGGGCTCTTTTAACTATTTGTGTCGGTCATATTTGATTTCAATTTAAATTTCATTCAAATTTGATATTTTGATACTCTTCTTAGTACCTTTGCAACAAAAGTGTGGATCAGTATTTGGAGACCACCACAATAATGGAAAGTTTGAAGTCTCAAGAAATATATATATAAAATAGACTGTAAACAAGAGAAAGTGTGTAGTATTCAAGTGACAGAAATATAATATTGGTTTTTGTTTTAAAGCACAAGGAATTCAAAACACATGAACAAAAGAATTAGGAATATTATGAGATGTGTTGAGAGAATCTTCCCCCAAAGTTGGGGTAAATGTTAAAAGATACACGGTGTAAAAAGAGAGAGATAGGAAGAAATAAGAGAAACCTGTTTCAACCATAAAAACTAGGAGAAGAGAAAAAATATCGATTAGAAACACCAACAGTTGTATGCCTTCTCTTCTACTGTAGGTAATATTTTTAGGTAAAATCTGTAATAATTACTACTTTGGCGTATTACATCTCCTAAATTGAATGGTCATTCTGACGTACAAGCTTTTTTTTCTAATTCTTTGATTCAAAATTTACTTTGGTTTTGCAATGGAATATCTTTATTTCATATAATTTAATTACATTTTTTAAAATTGTGTTAAACTATATTCTCTTCGATTTGCAATGCATCTTTCAAATTCGTATAACACATAACATAAGTACTATTATTATTAATGCAAGGATAATAAAAACTCCACCCAGAAAAAAGTATGACCATTTTCAAGGAAATTTTGTTTTCCATTCTTTGTATAAATATATAAAATACATTGAAGAAGTTATCTGTATTTAGCAGATGTTCTCTTTCTTTGACCTATTTACAAAATGTTTCACGTTTAACTGATTGAGTTTAGTTGTTTTAGAAAATCTTTTGCTTTCATAGATGAGATGCAATTGCCTACTTTGCCTTTAAAATAATGTAATTTCTACGTTCTGCGTCTAAATTAAGTAATAGTTTCTGAAAGAATAAAAATGTAAAGTGAGGAAATGTTAATTGTTCAATTTATTCCAGTAAAGTAGACTTTTTCTGGTCTTTCTGCTATATCTGAAATTGTTACTATATTTATTGTAATTCACAAGTGTAAATGTTTTTGATAGTTTCATTCATAATTTTGTTCTGGAAAATGACTACTTGAACCATTGAAATGTTAAATAAATTTTAGTAGGAAATGCAGAAAATAACTTGGGAAATATATGACTTTTGAAAATTCTATTATTATGTGTCATAAAATGTTTTTCTGTGTAATGATTATAATATTTGTACATGTATGGTGTCTTGTTTCTGAACGAAGCAAAGGAAAAATAGAAATACATGTACTCTGAATAATTATAAAAAAATATTTATGAGCTTATTCAAATAAAATTTTGGAAAAACATTTGTTCCAAACATTTCCCAATATGCAAAACCTGAATAATTTGCCTCAGTAAATGCAATAAAAGTTTGTGCTTTATTTTCCTACTTCATCTTCACTAAATGTGTATTAAAATCTATTGAAATCCAAGAATTATCTAAGGAATTTAAATTAAAATTGTTTTCTTGTTCCAGTAATGACCAAGATGGACTTGTTAAACATTTTATGTTATAAGAGTAGGTAAACTCACTCTAGTTTTATAAGTGGTTTTGTGATTGATTGATTGTAATTTTTAAGCACTAGAACTGTTATGGTAATTAAAATCATGGAACTGAAAGGTAAAATATCACATGATCTGTGGCCCATTTTATAGGGTGCTGCTTTTTCTAGAAATGATTATGGATAGATTAGAGCAGACATGGCAATTAGAGCATTCATCCTATGAATTTGATTCAGACTGCCACTACAAACATATTTATGTGTACACTAGTAGAGTTGAAACTGTGACCTCATAATTGCTGATATGCTTGACTGGAAGGTGTTACTTTTATGTTTGCCATTATTGGCCAAGATGTAAATATTTTTTAAAAATAATATGTAAGAAACAATCACTTTGTATATTGTAATCCCCATTTTATTTTATTGATGCATTATTTGCAGAAAGGATGGCCATCTGCAATCTAGGATGGTTCGTTACAATCACATAGTACAGGAACAAATTCAGGCTTAAAAATGTTATAAATGGATGTATCTCAATAGTTAAACATTTACAAGGAGGACTGAAGTAAATTATCGTTTTTATGTTAATGAAACTCTAGAAATTAGTATGAAATTCTATGATTTAGATTCTTTTTACGTTATAAAACTATTTTTGCAATCTATGAGGTATCCAATCACGTTAGTAACTGTCTTGGTAAATGCAGCACTAACCCAGGAGTATATTTAATTTACAATTTAAGTTTATTACAAATAGGGTGAAAAGGTTCAATAATATTATATCGTAATACAATAAGTACATTAAGAATAAGTTATTTATATACAATTATTTACTTTTAACAAGATAATACATGTTTGTATATTTTTGCTTTCTCGTACTTAAGAAGACGTGAAACTATCAAATGATAGTTCAATCGTGCGCCGGTAAACGACGCTTTTTCTGCAGTAAAACTCTTATTGCTGGGTCCTGCTGTTTAGTATAGTAAATTACTTCTTCTAAAACGTGGTGTAGTCACAACTCATGTTTTTGGGTCCTTGATACCGAAAATTCGATAGACGGCAAATGTCCGTCTTTCTGACCATCTGTCTGTGGTCAACGCTACCGCCTACACCGTTCAGCCTATTTTCTCCAAAATTGATATTCCCTGATCGAACTCAAGGTTTTGGGAATTTCAACGGAATATTTTGATTTTTGAGGGTACTTAAAATGAAGCCTGAAAAGCATTTTGATTTTTTTTCAAAAAATGGCTCCAATTTTTTTATTACATTTTATCTTCGGATATCGTAAAGTTCGCGCGTGGCAGAATGGCACTCGTGGTGGACTTCGCGGTGGCTGACGAACGAGAGGGCAAACTTAAAAAGAAGTTAGAAGAAGAGCGCCAAAAATACGAAGCCACCCGCGCCCAACTCATTACCGTCGGTTACCACAGCGCCGAAGTACTCCCGCTTGTGGTAGGGGCACTGGGAGAATGGTGTGCGGGTAGTGACGCCGCACTAAAGCAGCAGACTGCCACAGATAAAAGCCTTAAGAGAAATAATAACTGAGGCCATTGATGGCAGTGCGGCGTGCTACTCCACGCCCAACGGCAATATACACCTGGCCCCGCGTGAATACAAACAGCGCAGGACAGAGTCCGCAGAGACGCCTTCCTCCACCCCGTGCCACAGGAAGCTAGCTGCGGAACCACAGACAAAACCTGCAGCAACAGCAGACGACAAGCTAGAGCCCCTGCCTAGAAAGTGTGTGCCTCCAGTGTCAGTGAAGTGAAAGCAAGAAGTTAGTGGCAGCCTTGGTAACAGTGAGGTGAAAAAGTATATGAAAATATGCAAGAGGATCAATGCCGGACACAAGTTAACTAAAAACTAGATTATGATCGGAAGAGCCATTCGAATAGATTTATGTATTATAAATAACACCCAATAGCATACATTGTAAATAATAACCAAGAACGTACATATTGTAAATAGTAGCAGTAGTATAGATAATAGTCATGTAGAACTAACATAGTAGGATAGAATTTACACTAAGCCAGACGGCAACTGAAATGTATGTGTGTATATATATATTATATATTATATATATATATATATATTATATATATATATATATTTAATTAAATAATTTTTTTATAAATATATTAGATTAAGAAATAAATATTCGTGTTAAAGAGAATAGTGCAAGTCTCATGTGCGTTGTAATCGAAGATTTTTGTCTTAAAATTTAAAATAATAATATACCGAACAAATATTCACGTTCTCTTCAACATTTAACTTAAAAAATAGTATTTTAAGAAGAAATATTCAAGTAGTCTGTGGCCAGAAAATTTACGGCTGTAAAAATTATGTTGGTCTTAGTGTACTTTTAGAAAACTAGTTTCTCAGGTCGTCTTTGTTTGGCATGCCCTCCCAGATGACCATGCTTTTCTCCATTTTTCGCCGTGGACTGACCACTCCTGTGCCGTGGGACCACTGGCAGACCATTTTCTTACATATTTTAGCACAAACTTTACTGTGGCGTTGGTTCTCTACTTATTAGCATCATTTAAACTATTTTATTTGCCGGCAGACTTGCAGTAACTCTGGAAGGGCGACAGAATAAGTTCTTTTGAATTAATGTAATTTGTACAATTCTGTGCTCTAGATTTCAGACGTGACATCACAAAAAGTAAATTCTACGTGGAATCCTAGCCCTCTAATGTGGTACACACTACGTGTGGTTTAGACCACAGGTTTCGTGTAAGTGTATGAAATATGTCTCAATGACATTTTGCGACGCTATCTCTCGGACCAAGTTAGTGTGTTTGACTTCTTGGGGTGCGGTATATTAACTTTTCTGATGGTGAGGTATTTACGCAATTGAGCAGAGGTTCAAAACGTAATGGGAGTGGCTGGACTTCTTAAAATTATTTGCCGATTCTTCATTACATATTTATTTTCAGAGTAAAAGTCAACCTATAGCAATTCTAATGTAATGTATTCAGTTTCATTCGTTCTGAATCGATGATGATAATAATACATACAACTCAGAGACTACTAAAATATTCTGTTATTATTCTTTTTTTTTTAATGGAAACATTTCTGTCAAAGCACAATAATCCAGTTTTCCCAGGTTAGGTTTTTACCCCTAAATTTGAAATTTTTTAGTCGTCTTAAGCAATGAATTTGAGATAAACATGTCTTTTGTTTTTAAGTAACTAGTGGTGCTCCAACAGCACATACTTTCTCACATTATTTCTAAATTTTCAATTTTCGAAAATTCAAAGAGTTGGACTAGTATGAGACCCACGCCGTTTTAAGCATTCCTTCTTCTAGCAGTGGAAACGTTTTAAAGACAAAAATTGGACTGTTTTTTCTAGAAAAAATGCTATTTTTTTAAAAAATTTGCCTATATTTCTCGCCAAATTACACAAAAATCACTAATTTTTTCGAAAAATTGAACTTTTTTAAAATTCCGTCTTTAAGGATCAGATTTTAGTAAAGGGAAAATCTCTAGCTTCAATATTATAGTTATAGAAAGACGCTTCCCCAAAAATTACACTTTTGCAATTTTCTTAATTATTCTTAATTATGCAATTTTCTTAATTAAAAATCTGGGATTTTAACGAACATGAGACCTACGTCATTCTCCTAAGCGTCCTTTACGCCAACCGAAGACAAAATTCGTTCATTCAGATAAATCGGGGAATATCAATTTTGAAGAAAATCGGTTGAAGGCGCTAGCGTTGACCCTAGACGGACAGACAGATATTTTGCCGTGAAACGAATTTCCGGTCTCAAAGACCCACAAAACTGATTCTGGCTATACCACGTGTTGGTTGGCACTGATATTGGGGTAGGTTGGCACTAGCATCTTGTCTTGATGAATTTCAATGCCTCTAGAGGTTCGACAGTTACACATTCACCGATAAAAATAACAACATAAGGTTGCCAAATTCATGTACTTCCTTTGCAAATATCAAAACTAAAACGGAATTGAGCAAAAAAAAAAAATTAAAATTACCAACTGGTGCCAACCAGCCTGTCTTCCCTAGTCATATTTGAAAATGGCGAAAATGTTTTCTGTAATCGTCTCTAGTTCCATCTAATGTTCCCCATCAGTGCTATACAATGTATAACACTAATTAAGCACGGCAAAACTTAAACAAACAACGAAGAATGAAATAGTGACAATAACAAAATGTAACTTTTGGATGTAAACAAAAAGTATGTGAAACTAATAACAATGAACAATCTTTATCTTTTTTCGTTATTTATCAGACAGTGACTTGTTCTTCAATTTTGCTAGTTCTAGTCCCGGGGCCGAGTAGTCTTGTTTACGACGACTCTTCAACAGTTTCAGAGGCCCTTCCGAGTTCTTGGTTCAGTTAACTGTGAATTGATTATGTAATATCGATGAACTGAAACACTGTGCAGCGGCGAATGTCTAAACCAATAAATTCGTCAAGTCCTTCTGATCACGTGAGCGTTGTGCGTCTGGGATGTCTGCCTGACGCCTGGAGCCGGATTACTGGACTTGCGTACTGCTGGTTTGCTGAATCTGAGCGGATTGCCGTGCAGGCGTGGACAGTATTGCTTAAGGTGAGGTGGTTATATATTTACGTGGTTAGCATGCGTTTTTTATTATTTGGAAAACTATGTAGAATAGGCATATACAGAAGCCATAAATTATTATAAAAAAAGTAAAAATAAATCTTTATCGTACACTTGTGTTGCAACTAAAGGTTTTACATGGTTCAGTATTTATCATGTGCAATTTGTGAAGATCGAAATAATTATACTTTTTTATTTCGTATTCACCTTACTGTACTGTATGTTCAACAGTCTTTATTTTTCTTTATTTCGTGTCATTGTAATATTTTTGAAATAACTGTGGAACGTAACTTTTCATCCATTAAAAAAAATTACTGGAAAAATGTATATTTCAAATAAGTAACTCCAGATCACAAGTAAACTTAATAATGTGATGAAAATGTTCAAAAACCTATATGTGCCACGTATTATTCTCGCTTACTTGCTTTACTTCAATTATATTTGATTATTATAACACTCACTTCGATAGTGAAGCCGGGCTTGCAAAACAAGAACATAAACCTACACCTCAGAACTCTGAAGTTTTATGGAGGTGTCTTAGACAAATCCCCGACTCTTTCCTCAGCATTTCGACACTTCGTTAGGTCCGATTACGACACAAAGTACATGGACCCTTATATATTTTATTTCACTGATATGATTATTTATTGATAGATTGATTATTTCGTATTTCTGGGAGCGTCAAGGGCTATGGTCCATGCTTTTATCACGGGGTGGCGGTGTTTTCCTATTGGATGGTGAGATCCGGCGCCGACCTACACTTCGACTCGCGGGATTTCCACTTCCAGGTATCG